TTTACTCCTTCTTTCTCATTGATGTGTATTAGTCTTATGTTGTTCATCTTTGCATTGTCTTGCAGCTGTTGAATTATTATTTCCTGGATCTTAGTTGTTTTTAAGAGATCTTTCCTTACCTTTTCACTAGCTGCAACAGTGTCTTCAAGGTCTGAAAGTCTATCTTAACTTTCATTCAGAGAGTTTTGACAATTTTAATTGAATTTTTATTGTCCTGAATATCTCTTTGAATCTGCTTTATGTATTCTACTTCTTTTCTATATTGCTCATTCAAAGTTTCCATCATTTTATATTCTCATCCATTTTTTAAAATTTATGTATTCAGTACAGAGTCTTACTACACAGCTGGGACTCATAGTGATCTTTCTGTTTTCAGCCTCTCCAGTGCTGGGATTACAGGCATGCACCACCATGCCTGGACTTGGTTGCTGGCTCAGTGTGCCCTGGGGCAGGGCCAGTACAGCATGTCATACCAAGGATCAAACCCTGGTCCCTGCACCTGCCTAAGCAGTCCATTGAGCTATCTCACTGGCCCTATTTTTTTTTAAATCAGTGTTTGTTTTATAAATGCTTAGTATTTCTTTCATTATAGTTGTCATTTCTTTTCTTACTTGGGAGATTATTTCTGATCTGATTTTCTCTGAAATCTTCTGCAGTTGTTTCTTTACTTCAGATGCTATTATTTCTGATCTGAATTCCTCTATACTCTTCTGAAGTTTCTGAATTCCTCTATACTCTTCAGATTCTATTATTTCAGAGATTTAAGGTGTGTGACTTCCAATTTCTTCTATGCTAGTGTCTCCTACATTTGTTCTGGGTGGGCTCTGGGCCTGAGATTAAATTCTTCTCCTTCTCTTTGTCATTTTATATTTCAGACAGAATTCTTTATTTTTATTTCTGTGATACTTTTTCATGAAAGTTTGGTAGCAGTTAACTGTGTCACTGTGATCAGAGCCTCTCTGTAAAGAGTCTGTTCTTTAGGTATCTCTTCTGAGTCAGAGATTCTGGTTTTGTGTGTGTCCCAAGATTTTCCTCTCTCTATTGATTGAGAATGAGATATTGGTTTCTATTTCATGCTGTCCTCTGTCCTTTGGTATAGGGCCGTTTTGAGATTATTACCTAAGCACCTCCCAATATTATTATCCAAGAGAGAACACATGATTAAGGTTGACATGGTTTCCTATTTAAAGTAACACAATTAGCAACACTAATAATGGGTTGTGATATTTAGTAATTGACAAACTTTTGTAACAAATAGATTTGTATTTTAGACTATAAGAGCAAACTTTATGGCTGTATAACTAAGTAGATTTTAAAATGGGAATTTTTATTAAAATTAGTTCCCCTAAATTCTGTCTGGTCACCTCCCCTTGATGTACCTGGAGTCTTCCAGGCAGATTAGTCCACACCAGTTACCTGTTGCCACCTCTTCTCAAGAGGATGCTCCTCTACATCTGGTCTAGGTCTGGGCCCCCCTGGGCTTAGCAGTATGCCTCAGCTCACCAGGTTGGGATACACCAAACTGTAACTTGACCAGCTGGGTCTGGCTTGGGTCTGGCTGCTGTGCTTGGCTTCTTCATGCTGTGGCCCATGGAAGTAAACCCTCTGTGCCCTGCTGGCTAGATGCTCTGTTCCTAGTTGAGCTTGCTGGGTTTCTGTGCCAAAGTGCTGCTGCCTGGTCCCAAACTGGGCCTATCCACCGAAGGTTCTGCTGCCCCTTATTTTGTATTTTGAAACAGGACCTTGCTGTTTTGCTGTTTTTCCAAAGAGACTGGACCCCAACTTGTGATCCTCGTGCCTCAGCTTACCAGAACGCTGGGGCTGCAGGCGTAATCACATGCTCAGCTCACAACAACAATTGTTATAGTGACCAAAGAATAGCAAATACCGAGTAGAACTTACAAAAACAAATTATTTAATGTAGCAAATGAATAAAAGAACAAATCGGTACAACCTGTACAGTAAGGATACTTTCGGTTGTGATTTGCCAATCTAAATTTTGATCTGAAAATACAGATTCACTAAGATGTACTGTCATCATTATAAAGGATCAGATAAGCTTTTCGGAGTTTGTGCAACAATAGAAATAAAATCTGGTGGTGACCAATATATTCGTTATTGTTTTAGTCTTGAATTTCCTGCTTCAAATTCTTTGGCGGAGCTCATATGCTGCCCCTTCCCCAGGTTCCATACTCCTCTGGGAGGACACCTCTGCATGCTTCCTGCATTTCAAGGCAACAAATGATCAGCTTTGTGATCCACAATGTCTTGGGGTCAGGATCTTGAATAGTAGAGAAGTACTTCAAAACCCTTGAAATGCAAGTATCCTAAAGTCAAGTGAAATGTGTAAATTAAATAAAAAGCATGGACTATATTGGAATATTTTGCTGAATTCATGCACTTACAATATTTAAATGACAATGGGATGCCCTTCTCTGACAACACTAAACAAAAAAGGGGGATGCAAATGAACGACCGTTTTGTATCTGCATATTCAAAATAGTTAGGATAGATATACAGCTACATTCTCTTGATTCAGTGAATAGAGAGATTTGTTCTAGTAGTGTTAGTGGATAGGATATCATGTCTGCATCTCATACAATGAATAACCACTAAGAGAACAATATACAGTGTATTAATTATTGAAACTGTGCTAGTAACCGGATTTGAAACTGTCTCATTGCTATTTGTTTTTCAATAAAATTATTCAAAAAATAAAGTTTAACATGTCAATAAAAAAATAAAAAAGGTAGTTATGACTAGAGGACTTCAGAAGAACTGAGTTGGAACTGGTGTCAGGAGACGAAATTCAGAGACTCAGACAGTGCTTGAGGCTCTGTCTACCTCTCCTCTCCATGTGGCAGTCAACAATGAAGAGTGGTGGGAGAGATGTTTAGGCCTAAAGCCTTAGGATTATTTCACCTTTAAAATTGTATTATCATTGTTGCATGTTGTGAAAAGTCCGGTCACATAGATAATAGCAAACCTGTTATTAAATTTAATAAGAGAGAAGTGTTCATTTATGTTGGTTTTACTGGAGTGGGGGATGCTAAAGCCTGAACTTTGTGGACTGAAGAGGGAACAAGAGATGGGAAAATGAGCCTGGGGTGGTAGTGCACACGTGTGAGCCCAGCATGCGGGAAGGCTGACGCAGGAGGCCTGCAAGTTTGTCTTCTCCAGGCAATTTAGAAAGACATTGCTACCTCCAAAAGGACTGAGGTTGTTGCCCACTATTAGAGTGCCTTTAGATTTGATCTCCAGTGACACGTGTGTGTGTGTGCGCACACACACACACACACACACACACACTCATGCACCTGGATATGATAAAGTAGGTTATAATTGCACACAACCCTTTCCTCTTTCCTTCCCTCCTGCTTTTCTTTTTTCTTTCTCTAAAATATTAAAGTATCATTATTTTGGGGAATGACTGAGTAAACAATGAAGGAGAAACTGATGCAGAACAGAGGCAGTGCATGTGGGAGCACAACTCCTCCAATCATTAGGGGGGTCTGGGACCTACTGCAAAAGTGAAAAGTCAGCCTCTGTAAGGGGAGAGGCAGAAAGCCTGGAAGATTCCGTGGTTTGGAATTGCAGAAGGATATCAGTTAGGATGTGAAAATAGAAAGACCGAGTTATTAGTGACTTAATGAGAGAGATTATTTCTCTTGTATGTAAACGTTCTGGAAGGCAGTCTAGGGCTGACTCAGTGGCTCCAAAATAAGTGACCCAAGCTCCACCTGTATTGTGCTACCCTTAACATGTGGCTTATACTTTGTTGAAAGGTTGCTGCTCTGCCTTCTGGTATCATGGCTGAATACCAGCCAAGGGGAGAGGGGAAGTGGGAGGGAAAACATATATCTTCTCTTTATAGGAATGACCTAGAGATTGTCCCTGTTCTGTTCACATCTCATTGACTAGAATTTAATCACATCATCCCTTCTAGCTGCAAAGGAGGCTGGGAAATCAAGTGCTTGGCTGTGTGACGATGTGTCCAGCTACAAATGCCATTCTTCTTGTAAGAGAAGCTGAGAATGGGTGCTGAAGAATGGGCTGGAGCCTCCATTACAAGCATGCGGTAGTTCTTTTCTGGTTATTTCTAATTTCTCATCGGGGCGGTGAGTTCCTCTGTTGAGTGCAGGAAAGGATGTGACTTTGGAGGCTTCCAGACAAAGGAGAAGCAGTAAAATAGTCATCTTAAAAAGCAAGTTAAGTAGGGAACTGTAGCAGGGTTGCCAGGCAGTGTGGAGCCACAGATTGAATTTTGTGAACCAAGGTAATAGATGCAGATCATCCTGACTTCTTGAAACTTCACAGACACAGAAAGTAGTCTAAGTTTGAAGAAACTCTGATACATGGTATTTTTGTGATCGGGTGAGGTATAGGTTTCATTGGTTGAAGATCTCTGAATCAGTACACTTAATTGGCTAAGAAGCCAATTCTTGGCTCAGGGAATGGTGTGTTTGTTTTCCTCATTTCCTGGACTATAAGTGAGCAGTTCATAAAGGGCTCAGTGTTGCTGCCATTTCCTCTGTGTGACTCCATACCCTGGGTTGCAGTAGTCATGAGACACACACCTGCCGTGTGCACACAAGTGGCCACTTGTCTGTTAAGTGAGGACGTCCCATTATTTTCTCAGGATAGATAGCTAAAGTGGAAGGTTGGGAAGGGTCTTCATTTTTCCTGTCACAAAGAATTGGTGATTCGGTAGTCACAAGAGTTTGTAATAAATCACCCACGCTGGTTTCTCTGTTCTGGAATGGTGTTGCTTCTTCCTCCCAGGGCCCTGACACTTGCCCCAAAGGACAGTGTTAGAAAATCACTTACCAAATGGCAGGTTCCTCACTGTTGAGGATATAAATCTAGGTAGCATGAGGTAGTTCTGAGGCAAGGGATCTAGGACTTTTATTTTATTTTATTTAGGACTTTTAGCTAGAGAACTTTGTGATGAAGACATTTGTGAATACATATCCTAGTAGCACAGGAAGCAGAGAGTAAGCATGGAGAAGCTGTGTTTTCTGGTCTTGATCAGCCTCTCTTTTGTGTTTGGTCAGCAAAGTAAGGTAAGGGCTATCCCAAACTATATTAGAGATTTGATCTGAAACATAGGGGTGGGATTGAAGATTACACAAACTGAGTTCAGAGGAACATCTGGCATGGTGTATGAGTGTGTGTGTGTGTGTGTGTGTGTGTGTGTATGTGTGTGTGTGTGTGTGTAAGTAATCAGGGGAGGGGCAGTCGTTGATGCTGACCTATTTTTCAGTGAGGTACAGAATTTTGTAAAGTGAGCAACTTCTCATCTTTGCCTGGCCTTCTGTCACACAGACTTATCTAAGAAGACCATTGTGTTTCCTACAGTCAGATAACTCCTATGTGTCCCTGAACCACAGTTGAAGAAGCCACTGAATGCCTTCACTGTGTTCCTCCATAACTACATTGAACTTTTTTTTTTTGTGGTACCAGGGATTAAACTCAGGATGCTGAGCTTGCCAGGCAAGCGCTTATTCTATCAAGCTATCTCCCTCACCCCCGAGGACTGAACTGTTTATGATCTGCAGACACAACATTTTCTCTTATGTTACCAAGAAAGAAGCTAATGATCTCCCAATTTTTTTTTGGCAGAACTGGGGATTGAACTCAGGCCCTTGTGCTTGCCAGGCAAGTGCTTATTCTACTGAGCCATCTCCCTGGTCCTGAGATCCCCAAATTTGGTCTAAAGTTAGAGGATATATTCTTGGGGTATATAGGCCTAAAATATTTTTCAAGGCTCCTGAAATCCCCATTGCTCCAGGATACATTTGTGTCAGCTGGAAGTCCATCCAGAGGGCTCGTAGAGTTGTGGGTAGAGTGGAAGCCCAAGATGAGGAGAAGTCTGGAGACAGGGTTGTCTGTGGGGATAGAGGCAATGCTCATCCTTGGGCAGGATCAGGATTCATTCTGTGGGAGGTTTAGTGTAAGCCACTCTTCGGTGGGAGACATTGGAGATGTGAACATGTGGATCTTTGTTGTTTCACCTGAGGAGATTGGCACAGTGTATGCCAGTGGGATCTATAGTCCTAATGTCCTGGACTTGTGGGCACTGACATACAAAACACATCCTGAAGTCTTCGTGAAGCCCCAGGTGTGGCCCTGAGGCCCTTCTGTGGCTCCTCAGGTGCCTGCTGCAGATTATTCCTCCTGGGCCCCAAATCTCAGGCTATGGACTTTCTTTCTATATACGCTGAAGGTTGACTCTGAAAACAGAACCTTTACTTCCCTTCCTCAGCAGTACAGAATGGGATTTATGTGTCTGGCTTGGGAGCTTGTGAACTACATTGAGATAGTTTGTCTAGAAGGATCAGAATTGCAGATATTTGGCTGGTCAATTTAGTTTTTAATTAAAATGATTTTAGAGATAACCTCTTACGCTCATAGAGATGAGAACTGACGCCGAGACAGAAGGAAGAAATTTAAAAGTCACAATGCAGGTCCATCTGCTAGATTGCAAGTGTGTGCTGGTCTTCTAATTCTCTACCCAGGACATCTCAGAAAGTAGGAGAGATTTACCCGTATGCGCAGAGCTGTTCTGCATTGGAGTTAGGTTACCAGATGAGCTCTCGATTCAGCATTCAGTGTGCACATCACTGTATCATGGGACTCAAGTCTTCTGAAATAGGAAACCTCAAATACTGCTGCTGAGGAAAACTCCACTTTCTCTAGATACTCTGGAAAGGCTATCAAAGTTGTCCCATCAGATAAAGCCTCTCCTTTTATTTCCCCTAGGCAAAATTAGACCTAGAGGTATAGTTAATTTGAGCTTACTGCCAAAGTATTTTATATCAAAAGGTTTTACTGGTTTATCATGCTTTCTTAGTTGTATGATTCTTCTGGGAAATTCTTCTCCCAGTCCATGAGTGGGGCGTTCCTTCTCACTCCACATTCTCAGCTTTCCCAGGCTGTAAGAGTGCACATGTGACCTAAGCCATCCTACTATCAAATCATCTTCCCACCTGCCTGGAGGGCTGTTTTTTGTTAGCTACCTATTCTAAGATGGACAAATTACAGTGTTTTCAAGGACTAAATGGTGGATTCCCTGAGGGACCATCATTTTTCTGTTGGGATTCCAAACTGAGAGGATGTGAGCCTGGCACCATCTGCAGTCATCTTGTTTGTCACATTGGAGAGAGATATTGAGGAAGGGAGGCACTAGGGTTTGAGGAGCTCAGAGGTCAGCAGAGTGAGTGCTGGAGCCCTGATCACTCAGAGTGAGGAAGTGAGTCTCCAACCCAGCTTTGTCCAGAAAAAAATTATACCTGAACTTTCCAGGTCCATGAACCAATAAAACATTTTTGACTTGAGTGAGACTGAGCTGTTTTCTGATGGTTGCATTAGAAGTTGTCACAATTTCACTAATGACCCTTTGTGAGTTCAGACTGACAAGAACACATGCACGACACTCTCGCCTTTCCTAGGATCTCCCGCAGGGGTTCTTTGGACCAGCACAGCACCTCGTGAGATAGGTGGTCATGCATGTGGAGTCACACATGGAGGTTTTATAATCTCATGCCACCAATATTACAGCTTGAGCAACAAAAACAAAGATTCATTGAGATCCATGAATCTGCCATCAAGTTCAGGGCTGGAATGCATTTGCTTTGTCTGCTTGGCAACCATACACGGCCAGATCCCTCAAGGATAATGGCTGCTGGTGTCCTCCAGAGTCATCCATTATGATGGTCTTTCGGAAATAAGTGAACAATTGAAGTTACTCTATAGAGGCTGCATACAGTAATGAAATATGGTGTTCCGTGCACGTCAAGTCATTACTTTAGGGAAGTGATATGGTAGAATAGCTAAACAGAAGTTCTGGATTAGAACTGCCTAGGTCCAAATTCTGGCTTTACAACTTAACAGCTATGTGACCTTTATTAACATAACATATAAGTTTTCTCATCTGCAAAATGAGAGAAATAACAGCAATTGGGGAGAGAGTTATTTATGAGTCAAATAAAGACCCTGCCAGTATGGCATTTAGCACAGTTACTCCCAGATAATCAGTTCTCATTATAGCTCTAGGAGGCTGTTTTGTGTTACATGTCTGAACATTCTATACCACAAAAGTACAACTGGGTAGAACTTGTCTGGGTTGGTAACCACCAAAGCATCTGATTTGCTAAGAATTAAGTATAGGCTATTAGGAGGATGAACAGATAATCTTTGAAGTAATTATTTATGAATATTGATTTCCCTAATTGACTTCTGATAACCATTTAGAAGCACAGAAGGTAAAGAGAAGCATTTTTGGGCAAAAAATGTGAGTGCAGATATTCTCTACTGTCCAATTAGGGCAGATCCATATGCCCTGACATTCAGCTAAGCATAAGAGAGGGTTGACATTTTTTTCTAGTTAAAGAATCCAGTCAGGAGATATGTCTTAATTATCGAAGACCACCCCAGTTCCCTAGGGATATGGGCTGAGCTAATATTTTCTTCAGAATTCAATTATGGGTACCTTGTTACCCATACTCTACTGGACAGCCTCTGGCTCTAATAATTTTAGCCAGGAAGATTTTAACAGTTGGAACTTGCATACAGTGAACACTAGAAAGTCTTCATAAAGGCTTCTTAGAATATTTAAACTTGAGCAGTCTCACTTCCTGGTACATACTTCAATGTAATCTTATTGGAAAATGCATCCCTATGTGACAGATGAATTGTCAGCCAGCATAGAGTTGTTAGATGTAATCTAATTAATGTCTGGGTGAACCTGCCAAAGAGGATGAGCTTTGTTTGGGCATGTTAGTGCTAAGCATTTTTTTTTTTTTTGGTGGATAAATAGAGGGTGAGGTCAGTTCTCTACTGAAGTCACATCCAGTTAATATCTGTAAAGTTGTGTCATCAGCACTGCTTTTCCCAGAGATCATGCATTTAGTTTGCTCAGAAGTAGAATCAGGTATTAAGGCCAAAGTTAAACAGGTTGAAGACCACATGATACATACAACCTGTTATAAGAATGAAAAAGGGAAGGGGCAAATAGAAGGGATAGACCAATCTATGGATTTGAGATTCTGCACTTGCTACCTAATAGGACCTGGTCCAAATATGAACACTTTAGCAGGAGAAGAACTGTGAGAGGTCCAAATCACAGATGTAAGTTCTTAAATCATTGACAGGCAAGACGCCTTTATGTTCTATAATAGTTGATGGTCATGAAGCAGAATAGTCAAAGCTGGACTTGAGGTAGGGCCAGAGGAGCAGATGGGACCCCTGTCCCTATGTGAGACTTGGTCTCTCTTGAGCTAGAAGAAGAGGCTAAGGACCACCTCAGACATGCATTTACAATCTTACTTGAAAAGTAAGTAGAGATATTAGCTCTGTGAAATTTTCCTTCATACTTTATCAACTTTGATGTGTCCTGGGGAAGCAAAGACTGACAAAGAAAGCAAGTGACTCCAGATCATTAAGCAACAATAATAATACTGTAGCAGAAAATGCCTCCCTAGCATACTTCAGTTTCCTAGTTGCCCAGGTAATAGTTCTTGTTCCAGTTCTGGTTGCTTCTAGTCTTTTAGAAACAGCTGGTCCCTGTGATGCACATTGTATAACCCAACTTCCAGCTGACAAGCCATCCTGCCCTGTACTTCCTGCTTGCTTATTCCACATAAGCCCTAGACCACCAGAGATCAGGGCCTGATATTTTAGGGGTGATCCCAATCAGTGCCTGCCAATGTAAAATAAATCTGCCTCCAAATCCTGGGTGTTGGTTTGGTGTTTCTGCCTGCCATTGCAATGCAACACCGAAATCCAATTTCTAAATGCAGATTTCTGATTCCCAGAATTCCAGAGAAAGAAAACAGAAGACGGAAATGCTGTTTTGACTTTTTTTTAGTTAGCCATATTTCTTTAAATATTCACAGTCTTCCTTCAAAACACAAAAGGAATTATAAGCTTTGAAAAAAAAGAATTTATAAGCTTTGAGATGTTAAAAAATATACAAATATTCAAATCCCACTGCTGCAAGGATAAATCACTCTTTGGATGTTCAGCATGTGAACTCTGAACTGCTGACGCTTCCATACATAGGACATATCACAGTGGAATTATTTTATGGTGCGCCTGTGGAGAATGCCCACGAGATGATATTGATCACATTCGCATTTGCTACTAAGTCGTAAAGTGCACAAAAGCATCATAGGTGGTGACATTGCTGCTCTGTTTTTAGTTTGATCTTTTTTGAGACAGGGTTTAGATGTGCAGTTTAGGCTGGCCTCGAGTTCACCTTGTAGCCCAGGCTGGACTTGAAATTGCAACAATCCTCCTGCCTCAGCCTCCTGGGTGCTGGGATTACAGGCATGTGCCACCAGGCTGAGCTAGCATTGCTATTCTTTAAAAAGAACATAGAGTACTAAGGCCCAGTCCACAAAGATAAAATACTCTTATGTTCCAAATCTCTCTTTTAAATACAAATGTAGGAGCAACACTAAGGAAAAAAATTTACTTTGATTTCAAATGCTTTATTCTGAGATAATTACACTTTTGTCTCAGATGGGCTGTATAACCTGCCTAGATTCCTTTTCTTCAGTTCCCTGTCTCTGTCTTATCTGTGCATCTTTCATTCCTTCTGTAAGAGAAAGTGGGTTAAGTGAGTGGCTAATCTTTTTCTTTTTTTTTCCCTCAGAAATACAGACTCTTAGTTCAGTCCCCTCAGATGGCCTGACCCAGTGATACATTAGGGTCTGCAGATGCAGCCATCATTATCAGTGGGCTGTTGATCATGAGTGTAGATTCACTGACTCCAGAACTGCTAGGTCAGATTGCCTGGAGATAGAACCCAGAAATACATAGAGTCTTGAGCTCTTCTGCCCGATGTGCTTGTTAGAGCTATCAAATTAGAATTTCTCTGGTAGCTTAGATGTCTTATCTGAGGGACATGTCTTCCTCCGAATAAGCTTGAAGGCTGTTAGACATCTTTAAAGGATTCTGTACAGTAGACTCAGAATATCTTGTGCTTTCTCTGAGGACTCACTCAGTGGGTCCCCTCTACCTATGTCCTTTTATACACACAAATGACCTCATAAGGTTCCATAATCATCATCATCATCACCATCATCATCATCATCATCATCATCATCATCATCATCATCATCATTTAGG